ATTTTGGAAAGATGATATATTTGTTTTTAAAGGAAAAATATCTTTATTGCCATCGGACTTTTGCATACGATGATGTATATATAAGGTTAAAAAAAGATGTTATTTTTGATTAGTTTTTTATAACAAAAGTAAAATAATCGGTTGACGATTTAAAATTTTATTTCGTGATATGTTTCTGATCATTTTATGTTTTTACTTTTTTCTATCGTGTGATCTGGAGGAAGTTAAGACACTGATTTTTAATACGATTTTGTGCGAATTCCAAGCAAACGAAAAATATCTGGTTTTTATTTTATTTGAAAGCTTGTTATATTGCCTTTCAAACACATGTGCGTGCAGATCGATCCAACTCTTAGTTGATTTTTAAAAATTTTTAAGTAAAAAAGTAAGTTTTTTTTTATAATTTGGTTTTTTTAATTTGTGAATATCTCAGCTATTGCGCAACATACAATTACAAGGAATATACCAAATGAAAGATTATTGAAATTTCTATCTAAATCATATTTTTTATAAGCTTTACTATAGCTAATATTAACAAATTAATTAATTTAGAAAAATTTCGTGTTCCAATTCCGGTTTGGACCTCCCAGCATGGTTGCTATCTTAGCGCTCATTTTTAAAAATAAAGCAATGGAAATGAAATATCACGTCAAAAATGAAAACAAAGTGTTATTCCGCTATTTTGCTTCCAAAAACTTATCAATACCACATTGTATCGAGCTTTGTTGTGCCAATTTTTATATGACAAAGCATACCTTGGCAATAGGCTTTGAGTTCGCAGACGACTTTCAGCAGTAAAGTTCGCAATGTTAACATGGTGTAATAATAATATCATAACGGACATCATAGTTTCTCGGACAATTCTCCTTTGGTTTTTTTTGAAAAATATCCACAACTATATTAAGACGGAACCCTATGTTTCGTTTAAAAGACCAATAACACAGGTCAACAAAAAAAATTTTTTTTTTTATCCTAGATATGTTATTGAGTGATCCTAGAGGTATTTTGCGTGCTGATTCCAAATCTGGACTTAGATTTTTTCTATCACGTCTAGTTTTCTTTAGACAACCAGATTAACGGGTGAATCAAGGGGTTTCAGCAAATAAATCGTGAATTTAAAAAATGGTACTTACTTATGTTTTTCTCGCATATTGAGCATCTGGTAAGACCCTTTTTAGTGTCCAGCAGTAATCTGCTAATATGTTATTGAAATTTCCTTTGTAGCGTTTTTCCATGTGTAAAATATCCTGGTGAAAACGCTCACCATGTTCATCACTAACGGCGCCAAGATTTGGTGGAAAAAAGTCCAGGTGAGAGTGTAGGAAGTGAAATTTTAAAGACATATTGCAGCCCATTTTTTGGTATGAATCAATTAGATTAGCCACCAGATCACGATAATTTTCAGCCAACATATTTCCTAAAAAATGCTCAACTACATTTTTGAATGAGTTCCACGCGTTAATTTCTGTTGAACTCAATTGCTGTTGAAACTCCGAGTCCTTCAGCAGTTCTCTAATCTGTGGCCCAATAAAAATACCTTCCTTAATCTTCGCCTCACTTATTTTAGGAAATTTTTGCTTTAAATAAGTAAAACCACCACCATTTTTATCCATGGCTTTACCAAAATTTTTAAAAAGTCCTAATTTAATGTGCAGAGATGGCAAAAGAATATTTTTAGGATCGACCAAAGGCTGGAAGAAGACATTTTTGATTCCAGGAACGAGTGCTTTACGTTGTGGCCAATCTTTTTCAAGTAATGCAATTTTCTGTCTCTGCTATCCCACTCGCAGATGAAGCAACAATATTTTGTGTAACCAAGTTGTAAGCCTAGTAAAATTGCAATAACTTTTAGGTCACCACAAATTTTCCACTTATATCTTTCGTAGTGAATTTTTTTAAGAGAAACTGCATATTCTCGTAAGTTTCTTTCATATCAGTTCCATGGGCTAACGGTATTGAGGAAATTTTATTTCCATTATGTAAGAGAACAGCCTTTAAACTGACCTTAGAAGAATCAATGAACAAACGCCAATCATCATCGTTGTATTCAAAATTAAGAGTATCCATAACAGATAGAACATCATTGCAAAAAATAAGGTTGTTTTCTTGAGAAAAGAATAATTTAAATTCGTCATGGCGAGATCGATACATAGAAATTTTAGTTTTTGGATCCAACAATTTCCAACCCTTTAATCGTGATCCTAAGATTTCACTCTTCTTTTTGCACAACTTTAAATCGCGCACTAGATCGTTTAAATCGTCTTGCGTTATAAGATGAGGTCCATCAGATTTATTAATTCGTAATATTATTATTTATACATATTTATTAACCACGTTATTTATATACATATATTTACATCACAAAAATAATGTATACTATATATATCATATATAAATGAAATACCCAACGCTTAACCCAATCTTTCATACACTTTTCAAAGGCCCGTGAAGGTATGGCTTTTAGTTCCTTCGGCGAATTTTCTTTTACCGATTCAATCGACTCAAAACGCTTACCACGAAGGGGCAATTTGAGTTTCGGGAACAGAAAAAACTCGCACGGATCCAGATCTGGCGAATATGGTGCCTGAGCTATGACAGTGGTGCCGTGTTTGGTCAAAAAATCGCGTACAACAAGAATTTTCCATAGTAAAAATCGCTAAATGCACTTGAGGTAGTCTTATATTAACAGCTGCTGTAAACAAACTAATTGTCAGATGGCGCTGAAATTTGTATCATATGTCAAGAAAGGGTGTACCAACATAACAAAAAAAAAATTTTTGAAAAAGGTCTATTACTTAAAAAGTAGTTAACAAACAACAAAATCCGGATACTTTTTGAGCAGTAGGTAAATTTCGACTTTATAGCAAAAATATACATTCAACTGTTTTGAAGAATCTAGACGTGATAGAAAGTATCTAAATACAGATTCGGAATCAGCACGAAAAACACGTCTAGGATCTCTTAACAACGTCTCTATGATAAAATCTTTGTTGACCAGTGTAATTTCAAAAATTTTCTTCAAATATTTTTTTTTTGTATATTTATTTATTTGAAATTGTTAATGTGCTTTCACGGTTTAAAAAATTAAGCGATTACCTTAATGCGGCTCATTAAATGTCTTTTCACAAGTCTCAGAGCGCCAAATACGCTTAATTTTTTTTTTACTACAGTTATTGTTGTATTTAATATTTCTATAGACAGTTATAACGGTTATAAAACTTTGCCTACAAAGTTCACAAGTGGTTAAAAGTCACGCGTGAACCAAATGGCGGCACTTTGGATTTTCGTGGCAGTGCACAAAAGTTACTTAAAGTTAAATTTGCCTCAAGTAAGGCGGCACGAAACTCTATTACTTTCGTTGCTTTTATGAATTTTAAAGTAGTTTCTCTTATTGTTCCAAATAAATTAAATTTAATAATATATTCTTATTGTATAAATCATTATACTTTTTGAATTCTTTTTCGCATAGTGACGTTTGCTTTATTCATAGATTGGTGGTCAAAACCAAACAAAGGAATGCAGCATAATTAAGTGAACTGCACTAATTTGCTTCGTGCCACTATCACAAAGGCAATATATATGTGTTCCACTGATGGCTTGGTAGTGCTTCTGAACACCGCCAAATATTTAAAGTGCAGAAAAGGCTGATCTAAGTGCCCAGGTGCATTAAGACTGTAAGGCATTTACGAACTGAAAGGCATTTATACTAATAGGGTTTTAAAAGTCTTTCAAAGATTTCTTTATAGTCTAACTACATAAAGGGATGAATCATTACTTTCAAATTTATTTTTTTTTGTATAAAATAAATAAATTAAATAAATTTTTTTACTTTCAAGTCCTACTGTTCGTTCCGGTTCGCAGAAGCTACTGAAATATGTGTTAAGAGTGGAAGATGAAAGAAGCCCTCATTTATAGTACATACTGTGGTAGCAGGTTTTGGTTTTATTTCTTTTTTTTTTTTGAATTTTCCTCGTTTTGAAAATATGTTGCACTGAACAAAACAGAAAAAGTACATGACTGCAACTGACACACCTCCTCCACTCGTCAGAAGCTTTCAATCGCGTATCAATCAGTTTAGCACTTTCCGGAATTTCGAGCTTAGAGTGTAACAACTGCCTCGAAAATTTTTAATGACTACACTTTCACAACAAGGTTAAAGACTTTAATGTCATATATAATATCAAAAAGGGTCTTAGGCCGTGAAAGACGCTTGGATGAATTATTTAGTTATCAAGGAATAAGAATGCTTTTTTGTGCTCCTAATAGTCTCCCTTAATAGTCTCCACAAAACTATTTGTGTGAAGTTACAGAGCACTTTATTATGTGAATTAACGAAAATTAAACCAATTTCTTTCCCAAGCAAAGTTGACTTAAAGATCAGATCCAAAGTATGCACAAAAACAGTCACAGTGTTTCTTAAACATGGATGCTATTCAAAACAAAAGACGCATCCAGTATTCAAGTCATTTACACAAAATATCATTGAAGATATATTATTCTCGTTTTTTGAAAATATTTTGAAAGACCCGATATCACTAGGGATCAATCGATCTAAAGGTATGAGTCTATGTCTTGAAAATATATGCGATAACGTTATTGTTTGTTCCTTATAGGGAAGTAATACAACTGGGAAGAACACTTTAGTACCAAAAAATGACCATCACAAGTATTCTTTAAATAAATTTTTAATAAATAATGTGTATTGATATAGATATTGCGCTCAAAACTATTTTGCTTTTTTTTATTTATATACAAAAATAAATATATAATGTGTATTCTATGAAATATAAACATATTGATTTATTTATAACTATGTACAATATACATGATTTAATTAAATGAATTGAATATCTGTATATATTATACAAAAGTGTGCCTAATATATTTTTGACGAACTGAGCAACCCTGAAAAAATTAAAAATCCTTTTCAAATACAATTATTCAAATTTCTTGACATTGACATTCTGACAAATTTCAAATACACTTTTTTTTAGTTTCAACAAAAATATTTTTCGGTCGTTCAAAAATTCCGTCTCCTCAACTTCATAGCTATTTTGGCAATTGTGTGGCAAACTCTAACTGCAGTAAGTGTTCTTCTATTTTACGTCTTATTAAAAATTGTTGAAACTAAATAAACCATAAAAAAAAAAATTATAACTGTGGGTGTGTGTTCTATTGAAAGACCTTCTAATTTGCGATGTTGTACATGGAGTTCATTTTAGGGTTTTAGGGGTGTTTGAAGCTTATTAAGTATACTTGCAAAGGCTTTCATAACTCTCCAACGCTATTTCACCACGAGCCTTTTTCCTTGTTTTTGAAGCTGTATTTTATTTTTCGCATTAATTTTTTCGAACTTAATGTGTTTGAAAATTTTTATCCCGATTGATTCTTGGTTTCTGTTAAATTATCGAATTAACAGTACTCAATAAGTTCATTGTTTTTTATTTCATGATTTATTGAATTGACTTTCATTGCTGTGAAAAGTATAAAGCCTAGCGGATAGCAACGTATAAAGCAAAAATATTAACTTTAAAAGAATTTTTTATTTCATTTTTCACTTTCTTACTATATACAGCCATAGTCAAAAGTATTTACACAACGAACATTTTTGAACATATTGCATAAAAACATGTTTTTATTGTTGTTGTTGTACGTAAGTTGCAAAAAATTTTTTTGTTGTCACTTAGTTTCATCTATGCAGAACCAAATAAAAAAAGAATTGGAAAGATAACTGCTCATTTGACAAAAATATAAGCAACTCCGCTTATGCCTATTAGTTGTCAAAAGTATTTACACACATTTTTTTTGCGTCAAAAGTATTTACACAAAACGTTAATTTCATTTTCTTCTTCTTAATTGATGAATTTTTTAAAAATTTTTTTATGCTTATTCAATTAATATAATTAATGTTTGGTCACACCACCTTTGGTATCAATAACTGCCCGCAACCTAGCTGGAATTGATTCAATCAAGTTACGAACCAATTTGGACCGAATATTCGCTATTTCAATTATGCTATCACTACATTTTGGATTTTCATCAATAGTATTTTGCTGTTCTATGAAGTCTCAAGCATATTCAATGATATTAAGAGCAGGGCTCTGTGCAGGCTATTAAAAAACAGCATGATTTAACTCTTTTAAAATTGGATTAAGTCTACATCCTTAATGACATGGTGCATTGTCATGTTGTAGAACCCAGTTATTGATTGGAAAAGGTCTATTTTTTGACGTTAAGGCATGATTATTTAAAATACCAATATAACCGGAATCATTTAAGGTGCCATTTTTTGATACAAATCTCCAAATGCATAGTATAATAGACATCCCCAAAACAAGCCCGTGCCACCTTCAATTCAATTAAGTGGCTACACTGCTTTATTCTTTTGGCGTTGTCGTAAGTGCATGGAGTGCTTATCAAATGAACCCTAGAATTGAAATCCAGGCTCATTTGGCCATAACACATATTAACAAAACTGTTTAGGTTTCTTAAAATACCTTAAAGCAAATGAGAGAATATTTAATTCTACACTGCTTTATTCTTTTGGCGTTGTCGTAAGTGCATGGAGTGCTTATCAAATGAACCCTAGAATTGAAATCCAGGCTCATTTGGCCATAACACATATTAACAAAACTGTTTAGGTTTCTTAAAATACCTTAAAGCAAATGAGAGAATATTTAATTCTAAGTGACAACAAAAAAATTTTTTGCAACTTACGTCCAACGACATCAATAAAAATATGTTTTTATAGAAATATGGTTAATTTATTTAGCTTAACCAGTGTATTAGATTTTCGTCTATTTATTATTTAGCCTTAATGTTTTTTTATATTATATAAATGGGTTCAGATGTTATAAGGGGTAAAGTGTGATTTTTTAAACTGTTTATTATTTCTACAGGAAACTTTATTATTTAAAAATTATTGAAAATTTTTTGGTGCATTTTTTACATATCAATACTATTTTATAAATATTTTTCGTGTCAGAATTTTCCATCTGTCGTGCAACTTTCTACTTGAATCCACGCTTGATTTAAGGTAATTACTCCATTTTTCGCAAAACTCTTAAATTTTTGAAAATTTAAGCAGTTTTTGTTGGAAAATTTAGTAAATCACTTATTTCAAAGGTCAATTGCAGGAAAATAATGCATTCTAGAAGAAAAATTCTTAACTGAAAAATAATCGTAGGAAAATGAAAAATAAACCAAAACTTGTTTTAAAGTATTATGATAAGTGAGGTTTTCTGCTTATATAAATTAAATTTGGTTTTTGAACAAAAATTCGAACTATTATGATTTTGCAACTCGTTTAAATGCAAATACATGTAAGGTATTTAATTTATTAAACTAAAAATCCATATAAGGTTCGAACTGGCTATACTAACTATTTTTATTATTTATTAAGAATTTAAGTTTATTTTCTACCATACCTCTTTTTTCAAATGTTTTGTTTAATTTGAGCAAATGCCTTCTTCTGATGCAATACAGTGTCTTAGCAATATGCTTTTCTTATCAAGTCGGTGAACTTAGGTTCTCTATTATTGATAACAATGATTAATTGATTCAGTAAAGCTTGAACGTGCTTATATCAGTCTATCTGTCCACTTATCTTGCTCAATTTTACACCCACTTTTATATAAAATTCAAACGGATCAAATTTCTTAGTATTTGAAATTAGTTGGCCCTTATTGGAAGTGTCCACACTGCACAACTTCATGGAATGAATGGTGGCAGAACAAAATATCATACATTCCAAGTCTAAACAATAAGTAAATTTGTTTTTACATAAAACAAAATTATTTATACATTTTACTCTCTTCATAGTAACGAAATGTAGTATAATATGCATATCTTTTTCTGCAGACAGAACAGGCTGAGTGAAGTCATTATAAGATCGGAGTTCAGTATTTATTCCAATACACAGCATCATTTTGAAAAAGGTATAAACTTTCATACATGTATATAAATAAGTTTATATGTATATTTGGTGATATATAAATAAAATATATATTATATAATACTTTAGCTCTATTTGCATATATCCTACTACTAACAATCCATCAACTGTACAGTCCAAGCAATCCTTATCAAATCTCATAATTTTATTTCTCACCGACTACAGAGAAATTCATGTGTTTAAATCCATGCTTATTCATTGTTTGATAAGATATCACTAACAGTCTCTGGGAAAACTGTTTTAAGATCCAAGGTATGCAAACAGAAATATAATTATAACAGAAATATATATTTATGTAATTATACTAAATTTTTTTTTTTATTTAAAAAATTCCTAATTCTGATTCACGAATCATCATTAGACAAGAGTTATTGTATAGTGCCTTTGGCAATGAACTTTTCTTTACTATGGTTTTGATGTAGTAGTGTTCTAAATAAGTAAAGTGAGTTCTAAATAAGACGTGTTTTCTGACGAAAAGCCTTATCCATTTCTTTCTGCCGTGATTTGTAAAACTTATATATAATAAGGTAACTTTGAAATTTATAGACATTTTTTTTATACTTCTGTTTTATGAAATATTTTTTCTTTTCATTATGTTCATAGAATGCCGCGAAACAATGAGGAAGCATCCACTAGTAAATCCAAATACAAGCCTGCACCACAACATTGGTTTTATAAACGTAACGTAGGGTCAAAATTCGGATGGGTTCCCTTTAGTTTCAAAGATTCAGCACGCCTCGAGGCAAACTTTTCGGCAATAGCTGATGGAAAGAGACCAAGTTTAGTACCAGTTCATGGTGGTCGCTATGATGTGGATATTCCAGAGCGAATTAAAACTCCTGTGTACTGGGATGGTCTTCCTGTTGATGTTCGGCGTTGTTCATGGTTTTATAAGACAGGTGATGGGCAGTATGTACCATACATTGAGGAAATGGCTAAGATGTTGGAGAACGAATACAAAAAGACATTAGAGAGCGGCGTCTGGAACAAACGTGTACAATTATCGAAAAGAGAGTATGTAATACTATACGGGCCAACATTAATCGTTTATGTTGAGCCATATGCAGATCTAGATAGTTGGGGAGGTTCATCTAATAGCTCATCGCAACCGAGACAAGTAAGACGTGATCTTACAGACTTTAACATAGAAGAAGGTGAAACGGATCGAGTTGATCATCTTATTTTCATGGTGCATGGTATTGGAGCTGCCTGTGATCTAAAATTTCGTTCTTTGCAAGAAGTTGTTGGTTCTTTTCGTTCAGTTGTTCACAAATTGCTACGCAGCCATTATAAACACGCCACAAAAACAGGACAGATTGGACGTATTGAGGTATTGCCAATATCTTGGCATGAGGATTTGCATTCTGTGGAATTGGGACTGGATGAAAAGCTGACTGCAATTACATTGAAGTCTATACCAAAGTTACGTAATTTTACTAATGATACACTCTTAGATATATTATTTTACACCAGCCCTACGTACTGTCAAAAGATAACATCTACAGTCACTCAAGCTCTAAATGACAGTTATGAAAAATACTGCTCAAGACAACCTGATTTCCGTGGCAGTGTTTCAGTTGCTGGTCACAGCCTAGGTTCAGTTATACTGTTTGATATACTAGCTAATCAAAAACCTGAAGAAAAACGTAAGGCACATCAATCCGATACCTCTGTACTTTCTGGAAGATATTGGTCGACAGTACCAAGTACACCAAATACTGTAAAAGTAGAAGCCCCATATGCGCGAGGTCCAGCAGGAACTGGACAACCATATGTTAATTACACAAAATTAGCCTTTCAACCGAAAAGTTTCTTCGCACTCGGCTCACCCATTGCAATATTTGTTACAATTCGTGGAATCGATAGGTTGGGGGTCGATTTTTGTTTTCCTACTTGTCCTAGTTTCTTCAACATATTCCATCCTTTCGATCCAGTAGCGTACCGAGTCGAGTCGCTTATTTCTCCAGGATTATCAAATGTACGACCAGTGTTGATACCGCATCACAAAGGTCGTAAGCGTATGCATTTAGAGATCAGGGACACGATGACACGTTTAAGTACTGAACTGAAGGCACGCTTCATAAAAACTCTCAAGAACACACTAAATACTGTGAGGCGTTTAAGTACCAGGAATACAACACACCAAGAAACTGCTACAGTAGCGTCTAGTGGCACAACGAGAACTACAATGACGTCTACAAGTGAAGAGGAAGAAACGAACTCACAAGAACTTCAAGAGGAAACAGATTCTGATACTTCAAGTATAGAGCACAGTACGCAAAATTCTGATTATACACTTCCTTCTATAGATGACCTACAAGAGTATGGAGGTGACTTGCCGCTAGGTAAGCTTAATAACTACCAGCGAATCGATTACGTCTTACAAGAAGCACCTCTCGAATTCTTCAATGAATATATATTCGCTTTGAGCAGTCACGTATGCTATTGGGACTCCGAAGATACTGCGCTTTTAATATTGAAGCAAGTCTATAAAGGCATTAAAACTGACAGTGAGATCGTTGAAGCACAAATAGAAGCAAGTGTTGAGCGAATGTTAGCGCCATCAACATTCGATTCCGACATAGATTTGGACTCACGACCAATGACTAGCGCTGCTGCTCGAGCTGTAGAAGAAGCAAGAAGAGCACGTCAACAACAACATCCCCAAACAACAACAATGGTAGAGCAAAATGAATCAACAAATGAGGAGGAAACTGATACATCAAGTGAACATGAAGAAGAGCGCATCTCATCAACACACACTTCAGGTATAAGATAGTAGAATAGTAGTAATAGATTTGCTCAAGTTCCATAAACTCTTTTATTTCAGATTTCAATTTTTAAAAGTCATAAATCTTCTTGGCACTCTAATAACTACGTCTATTCACCACTTTTTAGTGGAGTATAATATTTCATACAATCAAACCAGTTCTTCAAATTCCCAACATATAACGCCAATAAAATTGTCCAGCCTAGTAAAATACAACCGATTATTATTCCTGACAAAAGCAATAGCAAAATAGTTTTCAGTGCGCATTAATGGTTTTTTCATATTTAAATTTTAAATAGAAGAAGTAAATTTTATTCATGTATAATAAAATTATTACAATAGACGGTAAATGTGTTCTTTAATTATTATGTTCTAGAAAAGCTTCGATTATTCAAAATTATTATTAAAGCTTTTGCATATTACTTAAATGTATGAATTGATGAGCAAGATATGATATATTTCTGACTAAATAGCACAACTAAATGAAAGATATATGTCAGCATGAGTGTACGGAACAGTTTTCCTACATAAGTTCTAAAAACAACAGTTGAATTTGAGAGAGCAAATTCAACTGTTCAATTCAATTTGAGTTTTATCAAATGAATTTCTTTAGGTTTATGTCGGCATAAGAAGTATTGAGGAGTACCAGATCTACATTAATTCACAATGCGCCACATAGTTTTCTTAAAAAACTTTGCAGGCGTTATATTTTTGAAGACACACTGAGTCAATATTGAAATCTTAAGTAATTCAATTATCTATCGACTCGCTGAGAGTTTAATTTTCCAACCATTATATAAATATTATATAAATACATATATGTATATATATATATATTAAAATGATGGCTGGCGGCTTTCTTATTTTTACAATCATAGCTGTAAAACTTCCAATGCTGATAGCCCTTATCCGAAACCTATTATGGATAAAATAATTTCTATCAATTGTTGACGAACTCCTGCGTGTTACTTAAATGTCCCATCATCAGATTCGTATGCTTTTATTTGTTTAAATAATTTGCGTAATGGATATTAATGAGAGTTGATCTTAAGGCTTAGAGATTAAATAATGAACCTTGTCACACGATAAGAGTGGCTTTGTATATTATACAGTAAGCTTCTTCCCCAAAACTGTTAAGAAAATAGGACTTATATTATGAATATAATAATGTACGAATATAATAATTTTTAAATGTTCCTAAGAATATATAATGGTTTTGTTGTTTTAATAAATTGAAATCTCATTCAATATATAATTCTTACGGAGTCCAGCTACCATATTAATATACAAAACCAAGATATGCAGTTAAATTTAAATACAATTGGATTATTTGGTGAGTAGAAAACTGTAATTGTCCGCAAACATGCAAAAGAACAGCTAAAGTTGTTACGTTTAAATTGATTAAATCACCTATCGATAAAATCATCAGGTTATTTTAGAGTGTGGCAGCACCATCCGAAAACACATGTTAGAACATGTGAACGGCAAGAAACACTTGCAGGCAAATAATGCATAACAATGGCATTCGCACTTGTCCCTATACAATCGTTCATTCGCGTTCATCCGATCAAGAAGAGAGATCAGCAGCTAAAGATATAATCAAGTAAAGTGTATTAAAGAAATTAACTAAAAGAGTATTCATTTTATGGCTATTTTTAATATGTTCACTTTACAAACATATGTCTGAACCTTTCAAATTTTATGCAGCTTTTTAAACGATTCTATTTTGGATGCACCACTGTCAATTGTGTTAGAATGTGTTACAAAAAAACTGGGGGTGGGGGCGTTTAGTGACACAACAAGGTAAAGTGTCTGATTGCATTTAACATGCCTAATGCTAGCGCGTTTCTTTTCACTGTTCTCTCCAAGTTGACACACAGCCTCAATGTAGTCCCCTCTGTGTAGCTGCAATCATCCACCTTCCAAAGAAAACAAAGAGGCAGTTTCGCATAAGGAAACGATTTACTAATGACGACAGTCGCAAACTTTATAAGGAACACGATTTAAATATATACACCGAACTTTTTACAGAGAAAATGCATCTGCACATCTGGTTAATCTCCTCAAATATTATAAGGCTGACATTAAAGTCCTCCAGGATGGACGGGACAAAGATGCTCTCAACAAGAACATTGTGACATCTACTACAGCTGTCATGCAACAAAGCACGAATTCGGAGTCAGATTTGCGGTAATTTGAAGGTTGAGAAACATTTTCACCAATAAATGAAAGTTTTGCCAAAATCCACATTAAGGCAAAATCCACATTTACACATTACTCTAATATGTATATATAGAAAGGAAACTTTCTATGAACAGCTTTAACAAGCATATGAACGCTGTCCCCATCATGATAACAAAATCGCAGAACCATTAAAGTATCGAAATAATAAATATCCCACGATACTTTAACTTCCTCTAAACCAGCAAAATAAAATTTCCTAATTTCGCTATTCAGCATTCAAATTTCTAAATCATTAAAGCATTAAAACAATATTTTAATTCATAGCAATTTATATTACAAAATCTATTCCATTTGAGCATTTCTCAAACTGCATCAGCATTTAACATAAACAATGCAATGGCCCTCATTTGTCAACAGGTTACCAAAGTTTTATTGCTACCTTTCATCCACTTTCGCCAATTATTTCCAATTAATTGTAAGTAATCTGTAAGATATTGATTTTGTATCTAGAATTTAGTCTTAAGATTCGACCTAAGTGAATAAATGTATAACTGTTATATAGTAAACTAAAATAATTTGCATTTAAATGCATAATTTTTAAATAGTAACCTAAAATAATTTTCATTTATAATAAAATTTGTTTTTTTTAAACAAAATAAAATAAATTAAAATTTTAATAAAAGTTAAATTTTGTGTGTGCTTTATTTTTTTTATTCACCGAAGTGAATAAAAATGTAAGTCGCGCGAGTTATATTTTGTATTTAAATTAACATTTAACACAAAATTTAATTATTTAATAAAATTACACAACTTAAATTGTGAACCTTTACTTCACTTGAATCTTAAGACTAACTTAAATCTACTTTTGTTCGTCCTTGTAATGGTATATCTATGGTTGACCTTACTAAATGTTAAGGCCACCTTTGATGACTGTTGCATTCATATTTTTCAAAACGCTTTTGTTCCAATTTAAAAGAGCTAACCGCTGCATTTTATAATTTATGGCATGAGTCAGAAAACGATACTTCTGACATAAATATGTTGCCGCTAAAAATTCGGTTAAGATCTCATGTGGTGTCAAATATATTCAGACCACACAAATCGGAACACATGTGAATATGAGACACATGACAAGAAAATGCACAGTAAGAACTTGCTATGCATTTCTTGTCTTAGGTATTGTGTCGATTATAAATAGGAAGTAAATAAAAATAATAAAAATAAAGTATATAAGATTAACCAATTAGAGTTAAGAAGTACATAGTTAGATTTAAGTAACTATTGTTAGAATAAGATATATATAGCATTTAAAATAAATGAAGAAGCTATTGTAAGATTTAGGATAAGTTTAAGAAATCAGTTGTTAAATGGCAGTCTGGAGTAATACATGATCTGTTTGAGATCACAGTAGTGTAAAAGTAAAAATAATAAAATAAAAGTTAAAAAATAAAGTAAAGTTTTATAAATATAGTAATGTGTTTTAATCATCGAACAAGGACCAATACAAATATCCCCACAGTCCTTTTATAACAACGATTTGGCACAGCAAATCGCGATAATAGACTCATATAAATTATAATTATTTACTTAGGATTATCTAAGTTTAGTTGTCCTTATATTTGTATTTATTATTTGAGATAACTAAACTGAATACCTTTACAACATAAGAATAATTATTTACTTAAGATCAATCTGAGTTTTGTTGTCATTGTGTTTATATTTATTATTTGAGATAACTAAACCGAGTTCTGTTACTTCTAAAATATAAGTCTTCCTTCACACTAGTGTGTTACATTAGGATAGACTTATTTATCTAGAATAAAACGATCTCTTCTAATGAGTCGTTGTCTGGAGTAGTAGTGTAATGGTACATAACTCGCGCTGCTAAAGAACGATATCGGCAAAAGAGAAGGGGAGAGAAAATTTTTTCAGGCGAAAAATGAAGGAAGCGGAAAAACGTGAATACGAAAAGCTGAAGAAGATGAGCGATAGGAATATGGTTCGAAAATTTTGCCAAAAAATCGAAAGCCTCACAAAGGAATTAAGGAATCAATCCCTGCAAAGATGAAAATGGTAATCTGGTGATAGATGTTCAAAGCATTTGGAGAAATCACTTCTCGAACCTACGAACCTAATGTGACTGAAAATGATGAAATAATCGTCCTACCTTCCGTTCATAATGAAGTTAAAATAGTGATAATGCGTTTCAAAACCAACATAGCAGTAGGCGCCGATGGTTTACTGGCTGAGCTGATTAGCTGATAGCAAAGAGCTAAGAATGCGGCTTTTACGAAATAACGACGTCAACAGCATTTAAATGAATAGTTAAACGAATTAACATCCAGGGGCTTCGCTGACATGGTTGTATCGTGAAAATGTTCCAACGTATAAGGTATTTGAAACGGTATTAGGAGGAAGAAGGCGTAAAGGTAGACCGTGCCTCTGATGTAATGATCAAACTAGGAAAGCACTATCCGGACGTTATGTACGAGATGGCTAACATACGGCAAAGGCGCCTAGAGAGTTGCGTTGGGTCAAAACGAAACCCAGTAACAGGCTGTTATGGTTATTTAAATAATTATGTTTTTTAATTGCGACAACTATTTGGGCAGTAAACGATATAAGCAGGGCGTTTTCATATCAGAGATCGCAATTTAAGTACCAATTATAAATTTTTTAATATGTGTTTATTTTACTGAATTCATAACTGAAAACTTTTTAACATTGCACACCAAATTGCATTTTTATTATTTGACTCCATTCAACCAAAAAATGTAAAAAGGGATTTTATACATTAAAGTTGTGATTTCAACGTTTTGCATGTACTCTTACGTTGCTGATTATTTATTTTATGAGTGAGTTCGGAACGAATGATTATTGAGTGCTTATGCTGGCTTTCGTATTAGAAGCCATCGATGCGAACAGTTTCGATAAAAAAGTAAAGCAAATTGCATATTTTGACGAGAGAAACGTACCTAATCTGAAGTATTTTAAAGGCAGTGACGCTTGTCTCATCGACAGAGACAGCATTAAACAAAGTTGAACTTACTGTTGGCTTACAAATGCACTCCAATGCACATTTATGCTACTTTTTCATACGCACGTCCACACCATTTTGA